GGGTCAGAGAGAGTATGAGAGGGAGCGAAAGTGAGAGAGAGTTGAGTGACAGACAGTCCGGCGAGAGTCGTCCTGTGGCATTTTATCCTTCCACTGTGCCACCAGCACACGTTGATGCACTGTGATGTTAACTGTACTCACTGCAGAATGATTTCCCAAGATACATCATGTCAAAAACAAGTTCATTATTCATTGCCACAAAGCAGCATCTCTGAGGTGTTTACTGCCAGAGACAAAGTAGTCAGCATTTAGAAACTGTTACTTTTGCTGGAGCTTGTATTTGAGAGATGCATTGTCCTATTAGATGGGACAATATGGAAGATATATGCTGTATGTCATGTAACCCCCCCAAAAAAGCCCATGAAACTATGTGATATAATAGACAATATTGAGGAGATATTCTCACAAGATAATTCAATATCTTTGGAAAACATATTCTAGAGTTAATTGCTGACTTAAATCTTTGAATCATGTTTTGTAAACTTAAAATTTAATTAAAAAAGGATATGTTTTATTGTCCTTTGAATGAGAAAAAGTCATTGATGCTTAAGATAAAAGCCAGTCAAACTGTCTATTTGCCTGGTCTGTGAGGTCAGGCCTGGTCACATCTTCATCTCTGCAGCCAGACTCCTGACCACAAAGACAGATCACATACTCCCCTTAGAGACCAAAAAACAACAGTAATGTTTCATTGTGCCAATGCTGAAAATGACATGTGTTTACATATTCCTGACATCAGTCCTCTTCTATTTGTACGAATGACAGTGGTCCAGGTCTGATCTCTTTGTGGTTTCCTTAAAACATATGCACAATCTTCCCTTGACTAATTAGTATTTTAAGCCAGCTAAACTTTATTTTACTTTAACCATAGCTCTTCAGTCATATCAGTTGTTCTGCAAACAGTGAGTCCTTTTGGAAGGAACTGACAAACTGCCTGTATTATCTATTTTATTTTATCTAAGGACTTGTTGCTACAGTTTTAGTACAATATCTTTGCAATACACTTTATTTTAAGGATTTACTTGACTTATTCCCATGACTTGGTTTAAGCATAGTTTGCATTTGTGAACATTTATGCTCTCGTGTTCACACACTCAGTCTTATATCCTGCGTCAGCTCACCTTACTGTTACCTTACTTACATTATTTTAAACTTGGCTTGTGTTGAGCCCCTTTTGATGTGATGTTCCTCTTTTTTTAAAACCTTTTTTTTAAAACAATGGGAGCCCTCTCTTCAACCTGCCACAATGCTTTATTCCACCAAGCCCGCCACCCTCTCCCTCCAAACTTCCCTATCCCTCCATTGTCCACAGATCATATTATGTGAACTCTCATTACATGGGTGGTAATAGACTTTTCAGCGCTAAGATCCTCTTTATTATCTGTCAACTGTGGACTACATCTCTAAGCTGATTAGCCAGAGCTGTCTTTTCAGTATTTCAATTAGGAGCGTTGTGAATAGTCAAGCAGATTGCATGCCTTATATTCATTACTGACATTCTTAGAGCACTACGCAATGTTCAAATACAGTAATCCAAGAAATGCATTGCTGCAGTGAGGATGAAAGAGCTACAGAAGAATGACATCATGGCAGATTTTAATATCGGACTCACAGAGAAATGGCGAAAGTAGCTATTAACAGCAATCCAAAGCAATTTACAGCAGCAGAGAGGCATGCAGTTTTAGCATAAATGGCCCAGCTGGCAATATATCATACAGTCATACACACATATGCATACACACACATACACTACATACACATACACATACACATACACCATGTATGTGTTTAATACTAAATTATGTCTGAATTAGCTTTAGCTGTTGTTGAAGTTATCTTCATGTGCTTTTATATAACTGTCTGCAGTCAGAGGTCTGTGAAATGGTGTGAGAGCAGATAAATTTGTCATTCTGAGTGGCGTAAAGAGAGGCTGGCTCGTTGGGTGCCACTTAAAAAGCTCCACCATAAGTGCCCACGGGGCTGCAAACACCTACATGCTTAATCTTACTGTTTGACTGCCTCTGTTCATGTCATTTCAAATGAGCTCACAGAGGATATGTCCCACATGGGGGGGACCTGATGTCTGGGAAAGAATGAGAGAGGAGGAAGCGGAAGAAGAGGAAATTGAGGGAGAAGAGTGGATGGATGAGGTTGTGACTCCTAGTGCTAATGGATTTGGGTCAGATGATGAGGATACGATGTGCTCTGTGCTGTGGGTGTGTGTATGGGTGAGCTCACATGTACATGTGGAGTGCATGGTTTTGTGATGTCATTAGCAGTCGAGCCAAAATATGATGATCTCGGGGTATTATCGGTATCTGTTTAAGGTATCCGGCTTTATCAAATACCCACTTGACACAGGAGTCACCATCGTGTTTTATCATTCTGTCTCTGTCTGACTCTCTCACTTTCACACACACACACACACAGACTCACACACTCACTAATCCATTCAGTCATTGTTAATCCAGCTGTGTGCTGGTACAGAGATGTGCTGTACATGGCTGACAACCATGTCACTGTGGTGCTGATGTCATACCTGTCTGTATTTTGGTTGCTAATGTTGTCATTGTGGCTGCTGCGACCCACTCAGGGACACACAGAACATCTGAATCTATCAAGGCAAATAAACCTTGTACTCTGCCCTCCACATTATTGCACACTGAATTTCCCTCTATAGAGAACATCAATGTCATAAATGCATGTGCCTCTGTGCTAAGTGAAGTGTTGTTTTCATGTTCTCAGTTATATTAATTTGACAGAGCTCAGCCTCACTTCACGCATCAGTGTGAAAGAGGAAGGGCAGAGGAAAGAAGGGATACAGTCATACACACTTCAGGGTTTTTGAAGTAGTCATGTACCATTTGCCAGAGAACAACTGCAGCGGAGCAGCAGAGAGTCAAATGCCTTTTCCCTGGGCACCTTAGTGGTACTTGTAGAGGAAAATGAGAGCCTTCCGTATTTCAAATGAGATTTTCCCAGTGGATAATTTTTTTTTTCCTGTTGTGATTTCATTTACAAGGCTCTACACTGCTGTTCTGCTAAGCTGGTATATTTTTCATATTTTATCAGATCTCAAAATAACTGTACAATATTGGGATAAAAGTAGAATGAAATAATGTTACTTTTAATCCTTGTTGTGAACTTGTCAGTTGATTTCTCAGGTAGTTGTGCTTAAAGACGCTGGAGCAATATGAACTTGGTTGAGGAACAGTGTTTCTGATAAATAAGTCCCTGTTTAAATGCAATTCTCGGTTATAAACAAAATCCTTTCCTAGGTATTAAGCAATGAGAATGAGCTGGCAGCCTGTAAGATGTTCTACATTTGCCAGCAGCATGGTCAACACAGATTTGCTGAATAATTGTAAATTGAATATAACCATCACATCTGATTTGATATTGCATAAAATGTTATTTAAACTGGGATGATAATAAATTGGATTTCACAAAAAAAAAAATGTGACAATTACATTAAACTAAATGACCTAATATGGTTGCTCATATGACATAAAGAATTTTTCAGGTAAGTTTAATGTATCGTTTGACTCTTTAAAAATGTTTGATTGCTTCTGATTGGATGGTGTTATAGCTCTTTCCTAGCAATGGATTTACACATTACAAGCCAAGACATTATACGTTTCAATGGGGTAACCCAACTGAGTTAATCACTAATTTCAAACTAGTAGTTACTAAGAACTTAAGAAGGACTTTACACACAAACTCAGCCATGAAGTTATAATTAGCTCCAACCGACTCCTGAGGAGTACTTTGCTGAAATTATGCACACAGCCTATAAAATGTAGTTCCATGCATTCCTAATGGGATTTTTAGGACTTTCACACTTGAAACCAGGGGGTATAGGTCTGTGTTCATGAAGCCGAGATTAGGACTTGACAGCCTGTGGAGAGTGGTTGGCGTGTGTATGTGTGGACAGAGAGAGGGATAAAGAGTGAAACACTGAGGAGTAGAGCGTGAAGAGACATCCATGGATTTAAAACGAGATGGAGGAAAACCAAATATTAAAAGGATGCACGAGGAGATCATGAGGAAGAGATCATAGAAAAGTGGACGGAAAGAGGGAGAAAGAAAATTAAGACCCATAAGAAAGAAGGAGAAGTTAGATGGGGATTGAGTGGAGGAAGAGGACGGAAGGTGATGGAAACTGGATGGGAGCCTGAATGAAGGAGGAAAAGACGCATTACAATTAAAAAATGCCGCTGTGAGGGATGAGAAAGAAAATATAGAGAAAGCAAGAGGAGGAAATGCAACAGGAAATAAACTAGCGGGACAGATAGAGGGAAAGATACTGAGCACTAAAACGTAGTAGAGGAGACAGCAGATGGTGGGGATTATTCTGGACTAAAATACTCTGGGATCTACAGAGGGAAGGCCGCAGACATAAACCATTACAGACTCCATCTGCCAGAAATAGACCAAAGAGCTGTAGGTCCACCATCGCCATACTGATCAAATCCTGCCTAGATGGCAAAACCTAAAACGTCTATAATTGCTATCCGAAACAACACAATAAATACTTGTACACACACTTATATCACAAAAAATGTAGCAAAGCAATCATTACTATCTCAGATGGCACTGGTGTCTGGATATAATATGAGACATGAACACACACTAATGCATTGTTTTTTTGCAGCAGATGCTTGTGTCCTGAAATATTTCAGTGAGTGTTTGTGTGTGATTATGATGGATGCCATAAGACATCCCTAATCCGCATTTTATGTTCACTGTGATTAGGATAATAGGCGGTACCAAATACATGTGTTGGTGTGCAGCGAAAACAGCGACAAAAAGTGGTTCACAAATCTCCCCAATAAGGCCTCAATATCCATCCACACACAACCTGAACACACACAGCAGCTCACACAGTCTAATGCCTGCTAATCATCATGTTTCCCTGCGCATGCAGAGAAAAAAAAAGAGAGTAGAGAAAGAACAAAGATATCTGTAAGATCTGTAAGTAAGTTGAAGATTTGTTTTACCTTTCCCTGTGTGTAGATCAAACCTCGAACCTGCAAGAAAAGAAGAAAATATAATTACTGTTGTGTTGAGTGAGCATAGGCGAGGCTGCAGATCATACAGTACGCTACCCCACTAGTGTAACAATTTAAACAAAAATCAACAACATTAGCTTCTCTCTGTGGGCAGACAGAACCCACACCATGCTCAGCTCCTGTCTGCAGCTTTTCTCAATACTTGTCTGTAATTGCCTATTGAGCCGTGTCACTCAAGACGTGTACTTTATGTTCCTGCAACAGCAAGTAATTGTTAGTACATTCTTGTCTCAGCTTTAGTGTTAGGATGGAAAACATATTGACTTATTCTGTGTGTGTATGAAAGAGAGAGAGAGTGTGTTATTGACTAATTATCTACCCTGACAGGGACAGTTAATTAAATCCTTCCCCGGCACTGAGCATAAAGTAATTACTGTGCATGGATGCATATCCACCAAAAACAGTCAACATCCACATGTGTTAAATACATGTCACGTGTGCACACACATACTGTATGCATGTCTGTAACCACAGACACATTTCTCTTACATGCCTACACTCACGCAGTTATACCCGTACTGGGATTGCAACCAGCGCAAATTTTTTGCAACATCAAATTGATTGTCTTGTGAGCATTTGTGCAAAAAGATCGAACATCTTTCAGTCATCAACAGCTGCTTCCCACGAACATGTGGACCCACTCTTAATTTTCTCCCTCTGCCAGGCAGTATAAAATCACATGGCAGCTGGATGTGCCTCCATTGACTTGCATCTGACAGGCTGCCAATACTATAAATATATAACCATTGTCATTACAATTGGCAGCAATCAACCTATTTGACTTGTGCTTGTAACTGAATGCATCAGTTCAGTAGCAGCATACAATGCTCCTTACATTTCCCTGGTGCAGTATTCAAGAATAATCTTACAAAGGTACAAAGGTTACTGCGAGTGCACATTAATTGTTGTAGTGCAAAATATGATTCATTGTTCTGTGCTAAGAGGTTTGGAAATGCTCACAAGCCACAGAGGATGTAACATAAAATACATTGTAGATATGTTTGCATCATCATTTGGATACATAATAAATTATGTATTCACTGGGAATTTGAATGAATGTTTTATACGACTCCCACTGCCAAAACTGTGCCCACCAGCACTGCCAGTAGTAAATTCCCCAAAACAACATTTTCTCCCCAATTCCCTGAACCACTCTGCCCTCAATTACTGGTTTCCAGTCTGAAGTAGTCAAGCAAACCAGCTCATGTCTACTGGATGACAGACTTGTTCTCTAGTTGGTTTGTACATGTGCAAACAGATGCCCACTACATCTGCTATCTAATAACAGGATCTGCTCAGTGGGATGGTCCAGTGCTAGCTGTGGATTGATCTGTGACATTTTGCCGAGCTGTAGTGAGTGTTTGAGATTTACCTTCACTGAAAGTGCTTCGAATGTTATCATCAGTGATAAAAGCTTTTTGCCTGGTTGGAACCACTTGACATGGTTCCTCCTGGGAAAAACATACATCTATCTGAGTGTCTTTACTTGCCTAAATAACAGTTCTTTCAGTAATTAAACAAGCATTTTTAATATACTTTTCAATTTCAAACAATCAGACCCTTTACTTTTCATGCAAAACACTGCCTCATTGTTGTGCACTGAATTTCCATTCACAGAATTGTGAAAGGAGGAGACACTGGCAGTTACGATCTGTCCTGTGCTGAAATCCTTTGATTCTCTCAGGCTGAACAGAGACTGACCACCCAGGCTACAGGAGCCCTGGAAACAACAGTAACTTCTGTGGCATACAAATAAGCCATACAATCTGCTACTGAAACAGACACACACACCTATGCTGTTCATGTACAATTTCATATCTGGGTTTTCAAAAAATATTTGCAAAATATATTAAATCCTAGGATCAAATCTCATTTAGCCCTACAGTAAACACCCCTGTGTATTTGTCCTTGTGGTACCTATTTGGCATGAGTAATGCCTCAGTATTTTGCAGAAAAATGAGTGCTTATAATCTTAGAAACATATAGTCATGCACTTGCTCAATAGAGAATCCCATTACACCCCCTTCATGTGTGACAAGATCAAACTCAACAGCAGCAGGCCATACTCACTAGAAAAATGCCTTGTGCTTGTTCAGGTTAACCCACATTTACAAATTTGATTTGAAGTCAGCTAAAGGTTCTCAATGATGCACACAGTAATAATCGGCCATATTTTCTGCATGAGTTGGGGGTGTGGGCAGACGTGTGAGGTCGACGCTTCGCCTGGCTGATCCTTTTCAGCTGCTGACGTCCACAGGCCCATCACACTACCTGCCACATACGGCTAAAGTGTTCCACACTTTGAGACGGAGAGGAGAGGAACAATCATTTCATCAGTTGTTAAGCAGCGGTGCCTGACCACTCTCATTCAGATAGGTCTGCCAGCTGGAGCAAAGGCTCATGGGAAAGAGGGAGGGGGTGCACAAATAACAGGGAAAAACAAGCTCTGCAGGCACTGTTATTTTAACTGTTAATATATCTGACATAAAGAAAATGTCCAGCCTACATAAAACAGCATTGCCGGACTGAATCAAAGTGAGCACTGTAATGATGGATGGATACGTCACTCTTACTAGGAAGCAATCGCTGACCATCAGTGCAATAGGTTTTTAATAAATGAAAAGTGATATTTCACTGGCAGCCAAAAACAAAAGAGCTAAAATTCAAATTTGACATGTGATCACAAGCTACATATTTCTCTGTCTGAATTCCATTAAGCTCTTTCTTTCCTTCACTGTGATTAGTCACTGCGTGAGTCTACCTCAAGCAGGTTCAATTTAATCTCAACCTCTGAGGCACTTTACGGAGAATTTCAAACCATTACCCAAGCCCAACAATCGGTGGCGGCTGCCAAGCACCTACAAGGGAATGTCAGTTTCCATGGAGACCAAACCACCCCAGCTGCCCCCCTCTCCTTCTCCACAAGTAAAAAATGGTGAAAAGCCATTGACAGGCAGATATCACGAAACCTCTCTTTAACTAGTCTCGCCTTGGCCTGTCTCTCTCCGTCTGACATCACTGTTTTGTGTTAATCTATGCATCTCTGTTCTTGGTTCAAACATCTGCCTCTGTGTTTACCCATGTTAGTAATTGCTCATTTGCAGTTTCTTGGCAGTTTCCCTCGGACTCTGAGAGGCGTTCATGGGAATAAATGGAAAGAAGCATACATTTTAAAGAAAGCTGGGAAGCGAGAAACTAAGTCAGGAGGATGAATACTATGAGTTGATAGCAGATGGAACCTAATTCAATAAATAATAGTAATAGTTTTGACAGTGGCTGTACTTTACTGTTTAGACACTGTAACCATAATATATTATGTATGATGTGTATGTGAAAGGGGTAACTAGAAACAACTTTACTGGTTTGATTCGCTCTCACCACCAAAGAAAGTCTACAAAGCTCTAAAAGCCCACTGTATGCTACCTGCCCTGAACCCAACAGCAGACAGAAACAGTTAGTAGCCAGTTGCTTCATGTTTGCTGCTCCATGTGTAAATAATCAACTGTTTGCTATAGATCAACTTAAATACTGATGATATGTCAGTGTGTTCACTGCTTCTTTCTGCTGACCAGGGGTTAAAATGGGCCGCAACACAGTGGATATGATCTCCACTTTAGGACATTTAAATCACACCCCATCCACACACCCGCTTTCAAATACTCTCTCACGCTGACCAAATTAAATTTGTAGGATGTAGGCTTCTCTCCATTGACTTCCTTAAAAAGCTGTGGCCACCACACAGCACCAGGATCAATACTGTGTCTCCAAATTGAGCGAGGTGGCACAGCAGCAGTAACTTCATTAAATCCTGTGATGTGGCATAGTTATCTCACAGTAGTCTTATTTGTGCTTTTTTTGCGCAGCTCACTTGTAAGTTATTTCACACAGACTGCAAGTTTAAACAGTGAAATCACAGCAGCATTCCTCAGGATTATTGCCCCATCCAAGCTGTCAGTACATTTTTATTTTCAGCAAAAGTCAGAAAATCATTTCACAATATTTCTTTCTGGCGTATCAAGTAGACCATTACAGGGAGTTTCAGTTTTTATGCTTAAATTCAGTAATATTTGAAGTAGTTTCTTTTAACATGTGAGCAGTGAACTGAACCATACATTCAAGCTGAAACAACAAAAAAAAAAAAGGTAATTCACTACAGTGTATTTGGGTATAGACCTACATATTTGGGGTACTTTATTATTGTCTTTTAGGACTTCACAGTGCTATTTAACTCTTCATCTAATTATTCTAATAAAATGGAGGTGAATATAATTTAGTATGTGGAACAGTATTACAAAATATGACAGCAAGATCTCTTTCCAGAAACAGTGCATTTGCTACTCTGGACAACCCACACCCACAGAACACAATGTCTACTGTTTGCATTGGAACTACTTTCTACTCAAGAAATAGTCCCTGTGAAAAATGCTAACAGAGTCTCGTTCTCCTCACAAATCCCAATTTTACCCCTGCTTCTGTACCTGGCCAAATCAATTAATACAAGTTTAACTGAAGCTGACAGTAACAAATTGATCTAAACAACTCACTCCTGGAATCCAGGAACCTATCTGCTGCAATTGTGCACACTGTACCCTTTCAATTAACTATAGAAAAAATAACCACATGGAACATCTTCTCATGCTTGCACACACACTGACAAATAAATGTATATTGTGATAAAGGTTGAGAGTCTGCAGCTCAGTAACAGCTACAAAATAGAACACACGTAGATAAGTTGAAGGCCGAGGCGATCCGTGACATTCATTTATGCATACACAAAGGTCTCTGAGTTGTGCCTGATCTTAAATCAAATCATTGCTGTTAAATCTATTGCTAATTCTCTTTTCAAACCTACTTTCTATAGCTTTGCACTAACTGTCTCTCATAATGATGTTGATTTACTCAGCTCTTTATTCTTCTTCAAAGAGCATATGACGGCAATAAAACAAATCACTCTGGGG